TTATCCATCTGTTTATTGTTCGACCACTATTGGATTCATGTGGATTTTTTGGCTCCAAAAGTTCATTGGAACGAACTATTTTACTCTGTTTTAAAAACTGCCCTTTTTTTCATTAGTAGTTCAGCAAGCTTTTTTCTCTACTATTGTAAAATTCGCTACTGTATTGCTATCACGGTCATGTTTATTTTAAATACGGCTTCCGATTACTTGAGTCTCATGGTTTTCCGTTCGCTTATGTTATCAAATAATTGCATGGAGCACGACCTCGACAGCATATCCAAACGTGTTGCGCTCAATTTTCCATTTTCACAAACCAAAGCAAATTGCCTTTCTTACAATTCGATTTTACAGCTTAGTTTTTGGCTTTGAGGCCTGTCACTACTATGGCGAATAAATGCATGCTTTGTTATTTTTATGTTATCAGTTCTGTTTTATGTGCATCATAGGTGAAATGACGGAATCGTTACTTTTCATTAATAGGATCGGTTGTTTGTTCCTTTTTTGGCAATTTTGCCGCCGTGCTATAGATTCAATCTTACCCTACAGAGTGAACGATTGAGTGCTGCAGTACAAGTTATAGGCAGCTTTTAGCGTTCCTCTGTTTAGCTGTTTGCGGGTTTCTTCTCTTATAGCGAAATTGCTTTGCAGTTTACCGCTGCCCGTTCGCAATCCTAAATTGAGAACACTTATTTACTCACTACCACTGGTGACGAATGTAAGAGTTAGGGTCACTAAATGGGTTTACGCCAATGGATTGGTGGTGAGGTGGCGCATGATTATCTTTGTGGGTATTTTATGTACTTTACACCTCTTTTGATGCAATTGTGATTATGTGATCCCTTCAATCACACCAAATTTTATGCATTAGGAATTCTAATTCAAACGACGACCATATTATTTCCTCCGTGAAATTGCGAAATGGAGATCGGATCAATGTGGTGAGCCGAAACGAATATACGAAGTCCTCTGAATAGCTTTACTCTCTTGTTTCTTTCTCATTTAGTCCTTTGTTTTTACTTTCAGATACCTTTAGCATCATCAAATGAAGGTAATCGAGGCAACCAGGATGCGCTCTTAAGGTTACTCGTTCTCGACTCAGCCACTAAGTTTATTGCTAATTAATACCATGAAAAACTACGATCAATTGACTTTCACCACTTCTTTCCAGAGCGTCTTAATAATCAGCAACAGTTTATACTAAGGAGTTAGTATAAACTAGTGCAGTGAAACATAAAGGAAGAAAATATCATTTCTGCTGTAGTTAAGCTGACCTCCAGGTGCTTTGAATCCCAGTTATTGTGTTCTAGTACTTAGTCACCCAACACATTCAGAAGGCATCTAAAAGCTTTACTAGTGATACTTAATGCTGGTGCCCTATGTATTACAGCTTCAGACAGTCTCCTTCAAGAAAACCAAGAAGGGCATCCCAATTCGTCAAAGAAAGAGGAAAACGGAAGGTGTGAAGAGGATGACGTGGAGACGAATGACACGTTTACAAGCCATCGACGTCAACGCGCAAAGTTTCTCAAGCTCTTCCTAGAGCGTGCAAGTCATCATCGGTACCAACAGAGAGGGACACAGCAGGCTTCGCGTCTCTTGGTAGGGTCCACTGGTCCTCTAGAAGAGGCCCACGACCCGCCTTTTGCTGACAATGTGGTTACTGCTTCCGAGTCAGCACTTCATCATCATCCTCTCTCACTTACCCCTGCAGCTGCGTCCAAAGCACCCATTGCTAACACCACCGCCGTCGCCGCCTGCCGCAGGTTCGTGATCACGCACATGCATGAATAACATTACGAATGTACGGATTGCGCTTATCGTTTTGGCATGTCTTTACCCCAGCACTGACTATCTTGGCTAGTTTTGCTAGCTATGCTTAACTTACGTTATTAACATACCTAGTGAAAGGGTCTTTTGAATTATTATATATGCATCTTTTAGAAACTCCAGCGCGGCTCAGAAACGAGCAGCTGCTCAAGCGGTTAGAACGAAGCTAGTTAGTCTTCGAAAGAAGAATCCCTCCATGGATTCAGTGGTAGGTACATTGCTCTTCTTTTGTATCTCGTGCCCCATCCGATTCCAAAAATTGACAACTGTCTTAACCGTAAACACTATATATATGTCTTGTTTCAATCTCGGATCTATCACTTCTTGATCACAGCAACGACTTCATTGCTCCAAATTTCGTGTGCTTATGTGATCTCAGGTGTTGAGGCCTACAAAATGCTTCCACCTAGAAACTAACGAGTTGTTGACGCACCTCAGTAATGTACCTTGGGTATTTAATGTCTTCAAGTGGCTAGTACATTTTAACCAACCGCATTAAGTTGCTGGTGTTTCATTTTGAAAATGTTTGCTTATGAGTTCGTTCTCACAAACAGAGCTTACAACGAGCAGTAGGATTCGAATCAGTATGTGTTGTTTAGTGGTTATTTTGATAGGTAAATAAAAAGGTTTATAATCTTGTTATTTTTGCCGCGCGTCTCCATAGTTTTTTTTGTCATTCCTGGACCTCTGATTAGTTAGAGCATGTTCTCGGCTCTTTAACAAATGAACGCGTACTGACATAGAAAACTTGCATGATGCTTAGTTTAGTTATGCATAATGGAAATGATTCCCGCGAGTGCCGGGGAATGCTGTTGTTAAACCAAGATTCTGGTGGGTTACGAGTTTCCTAGTGTACAAATTAGAGGTAAGTAATGAAACAGATGTTGGATCGTAGTGTACCACCCTCTGCCTTTCAGTTAAATCCAGTTTTTC